TACCCTAAGCCCTAAGAAGAAACCTGGAATTTTCTGCTGGATTAAATCGTCTATTTTATGTACAGGGTCCCTCAAAACACACGCAAATTCAATGGCGGGCAAACGTTAGAGACCGCAAACGAATCCGTCGATGACTGACAACAATTCCCTTGGCTTCCTCTCTTATCAGTGATCGCCTTTCGAGCCGCTTTGCGTTGAAGGTATTCTGAGACAGCCTGTATGATTCACCTAAAAAACTATGACCGCCTACACCGCTGGCAATAAAATGTCGAGCGACGTCGATTCACGTATCGTTAATGGAAATAAAATGACTTTTTATACAAATAGCTCTGTGGTACGTAAAATTTGATTTCCCTACTACAATATAGGTATATAATATACATATATATATATATTATATATAATATATATAATATAATAGCTAATAAATAATTCTTAATAATTTATTAGTTAAATCTCATTTATTTGACGGTGCCTATTCAACGCTTAAAATTATTAAATCCCTTACACGTTAAGTTTCTCTCGTCCCGTTCGTAGCTTCTTTTTTCCTTTTTCGTTCTTCGCTTTTTTTTAAAAATTCTCATCTGTATTATTTTATTACCTATTATACAGGGTGTCTCGTTTAATAATGAGCATGTAAATCATAGTCGACGGTAATGAAAGTAGGAATAAATTACGAGGTTAAGATACCTAAACGCGTACCTCGTTACAAAGTACCTGCGAAACCTGTCGTTTTCAAAACGAAACTCGTATGACGTTGAGTGATACGGAGCAACACGTGCGTCTTGAAATCACGGTACCGTATTCGTTTCTCTTACCCTCATATCGGCGAGTACCATTTATTTGCTCACTAAAACTCGACACCCTATGTACCCTTAATAAGAATTTATTATTTTATGTAACGGCGTCTTCTACATTACCGTCCAAAAGTTCGATCACTTTTGCCTTTGGTTCCAAAGTAGATGGAGTATTCTTCAAGTAAACAAACGGTCGAACGGCAGAAAGTCCATACCGTTCATAATACAGTTAATAAACGAAACTGCACTTAATTGCAGTAAGAAGCGAATGTATTACAGTCGTGAAGTATTTATTTCCTGGAAATCAAAAGTATCTAATGCAATAGCAACGATTGATCTATATAATAGATAAGGGTTCGCTAAACTTTTGGCCGGCAATGCGCACTATTCGTTATCAGTATTCCGAAGATCGCGAGCGCGAACGTCGAGCCAATGATGGAGGACAGTATCGTCGGCCGACGTTGTCCGCGGCGATAAATGCAAACGACGACGCGTGGCTCATGAAAACGCTTCGTTCGAAAGGATTTACGACTGCGGGGTAGAGGAGACGCGACCGAAAGTTTTCTCACCGCGAGATACGCTCGAATGTCTACGCAAACTGCCTCGGCAACAGGTGGTCAAATCTTGTCGTAGCGTTTCGAGCGTCCGAATGATGGAAGAAAGTTCCATTAGCACTCCGCGTTTTCAGCTTTTCACCACTGAATTTCGCGACACTTCAATTTGTTCAGGCATAAAAATGACACTATGCAGTTACAGACATTGTAGGTCTTTATAACCGAATTCTCATGCATTCAGTGCAATTCTTAAAGGTTTTCACCAAAAAATTGATTCTGTGGGTATTATATTTGCGAGTGTCATCTTGTCGTAATTATACATTAAAATATAAGCAACTTAAGCGTTACTTTCGTACTGCATAGGGTAGAAGTTTCTCAATGTTTAGATACGTATAAAATAAGAATACATTGAACAAAAGTTACGTTTCAAGAATATTCGAATCGAAAGATACCGATTTATGCGCCGGTGTCGTAGAAATTCAGATCGTTGGAACTTTCTCTCCCATTTCGGGCTAGAAGCGTTTATCGTCAAGCTTCAGCGATCTATTCTACGCGTATCCCCTAAATACGCGCGATGCACGGTTTGATCTGTAGGTACCTAAGTACGTAGGAAACATGTATGCAGAGTGAGGATTCGCAAATTGCATTTCACCAGAGTGTTCCTTTCAGTAATGGCTGATCTTTCAAACGACGAAACCATAAAACGGGATAATAGCGACCGAAATGTATAAAACGGTAAATCAATGCACAACGTTTACCTCGAGGTGAACGATCGGTAAGAAGTCTCTGGTACGCGTTCGTTCAGAATGAAAACGATAACAATTGGGATCGCAATTGAATTTCATCGTGCCAATTCGATATTCCTTTACGATATTTCTTCTTCTCTGTTGTGCTCAGTGCAATAAGGAATTAGAAAGTAAACGACATTACAAAGCGTCTCAGCCGCTTGATTTCTCTTCACCGATCCCTGCAAATCGTGGCTTGCGAATCGCTCGTAAACGGAACGCACGCGTGCACAGAACGCGAAGTCGTCTTTTATAATTGAATGACGCTTAAATTACGAGAATGGAAAAGCTACGCGACCATCGCCTATCGACATTAAAAACATATTCTCGATCGGCAACGAATAAAGATATTAATTATTAAAATAAATTAGCCTGATGATAGAGCGATGGGGGAACTACAAGGAAAACGCGCGACGCGTTCGCGAGTATTTTCTGTTTTCAACTCTCTCCGTTGCGAACGCAGAGAATTGACCTAGAATAGACGCTGATTTCATGAAACAAACCAGCCTCGCGAACGAATCTGACGCAAACGAGGGAAAAAGAAAGGAAATCGAGCGAGGAAAGAACAATCAGAGATGCGCCCTCCTCGAAAATCGATGATTGCGATTGGACCATTGATCACGCGCGGTAGGTGTTCTACCTATCGTGCGTGTCCACGTGTATTATGTACAAAATGTACAAATAATCGCGCGCGAATGCG